AAGCTTTGGTAGAATAAGTGTTTAATTTTTATTGAGATGCGATAAGTTACAAGTGTAAATTGAAGTAAACTAGCTATAAAACTAAAGGCTAAAGGTGTAAAAATGTGAGTCTTTGATTGAGTATTGACTGCCTTTCTTTCGTGTCTTCTTCTTTATTTATAGTGTCAGAGTAGTAGTAGATCTAGTTCTCTCCCTTAAGAGCTAGCACGTTTTGTTGAGGAACTAGGGATTTCGCGAAACTCATGACACGGTCTTTATTTCGGTTCTTCATTTTTGATAATCAGCTTGTCCTCACCAAGATACTTAGGCATGATGTTCATAAATTTCAAAATACTCGAGATTGTGTCTTCTTATACAACGGTCTAATGTTTGTAACTGGCGGGATTTTAGCATTTTATTTTATTGTGGCCTTTATTGAACTTTGGGGCTGGCCTCTTTTGTTCGCATTGGGTTTGACTCTTCAATTACTCAGCCCAACTATCCATATGGCTTATTTGAGCGATGTTTTATATTTTAGTTCCAAACACATTTTTGCAAACTTTTTAGTATTTAAAAAATATAATCTTTTTTCATCCAAAAATATACTCTCTTGGTTAAAAAATGTAAAACATTTTTTGAAGAGTTGAATGTTAAAAATACAAGACATTTTTTCAGCCTTTAGAGGCGTAATCATTGCCTTTTTTTAAATATGTCCCTAGCAAATGAATCACTTTATTTATTTTAAGGCATTTAATAGAAATAAATATGAAAATATGTGGTTTAGTTTGAAATAAGTAACTATTTTATGGGGATGAGATTTAATTAAAATACCTTATATTTTAAACAAAGAAGTAAGACATTTTTTAAATGGTTGAATGTTAAAAAATTTAAGATATTTTTAATATTTTAAAGTACTTATTATGTTTTTTTTTATATTTTAAATAAATTATTTTATATTTATTTAAAATAAATATTTAATCAAATAAAAATAAATACAAACAGAAAATGTTAATTTAAAGAGAAATATCCATTTTATTGGAAGAAATTCAGTTAGATGGAGGAGTATTAGGGCTAGTTTGGTTCACTTGAAGCATTTCAAAAGAAATGGAATGGAAAATGATTTGAAAATGAAATTAAAAATTGAATTGAAAAATGTTAAGAGAAGCATGTTTGGTGGACTGGAAAAATATAATGTAATCTTAAAACAATTTTTATTTAATAAAATATTAAAAATAGTCAAAAAATTATTACCCTTTTCTTCCCATAGCCTTGTCTTTTAACATCCTCTCTCATCAATTTTACAAATCTAATCCACAAAAATAAAGCATAAATCATCGTCAGTTTTACTAAGATGATGATTGGCGACACCATTAAGGTTAGGGATAACAGCAAGGTTGGGGACATTCAATGGAGGACGATGTTCGACGGGCGATTGCAAGGAGGAGCACCTTCAATAGCTTGGCTCTGATGACCCAAATCTACAGGTAGGAGGAGCGGCTTCTACAATCGATCTCTTTGCCAAATATAAGAAGTTGCTTCCATGGCTGAATCACACTATCGAAGAACACAATATTGGAGAGAAGAGAGAACAGTGCAAAGGTTAAGAGAGGAGGGTGGAGCCAATGCTAGAAATTTGAAGGAGACGATATTGAAGATCTAAAGGAGGTGATAATAGCGTATGAAAATGTAAAGGAGACGATGCACGTGGTTCACCAAAGAGATTTAAAAAAAGTGAAGGATATTTTGGTTAGTAAAAATAATTTCCTAGAAAAATTATATTTTCCATGGTTTCAGCTCAAAAAATTAATTTTCACTCTCTTTCTTGAAAATCATTTTTCAAGAATTCAATTTGATGGTAACCAAATTTAAGACAAAGTGAAATTCCATTCTCTTTCCTTTTCCTGATTCAAAATTTCATTGATCCAAACGGGTCCTTACATATCATTTGTTAGTGTTGACTTGTTTTGGGCTCTTGTCTTCCTTCTTCCATGGCTTCGCTTCCCTGCCGCCATTTCTTACTGCTTCATCTCATTATCCTCTCTGCAGCTGCGCTGGACTCGCCCCAAGAACAAGACACGCCCGTTACTCGCTTCCAGCAATACCTCAGGATTAAGACGGCTCACCCAGAACCAGACTATTCTTCCGCTGTCTCCTTTCTCGTATCTCAAGCACAATCCATTGGCCTCCAGTATCGAACTATCGAATTTTCACCTGGGAAACCCCTTCTCCTCCTCTCATGGCTTGGCTCAAATCCATCTCTTCCCTCTCTTCTCTTCAATTCCCATCTCGACTCGGTTCCCGCAGAGCCCTCCAAGTGGCTCCACCCCCCTTTCTCTGCCGTGAGGACCCCCGACGGCAAAATTTTTGCTCGAGGAACCCAGGACGACAAATGCATTGGTATGCAATACATCGAGGCAATTCGAAATCTAAAACACAAGAATTTCACTCCTTCCCGCACAATCCACGTGTCTTATGTGCCGGACGAGGAGATAGGTGGTCTCGATGGGGCCGCTAAGTTTGTGCATTCGATGGACTTTGACGATTTGAATGTTGGGTTTGCATTGGATGAAGGGCAGGCCTCGCCCGGTGACGAGTTTAGAGTTTTCTATGCGGATAGGTCTCCGTGGCGGTTGAAAATAAAGGCAACTGGTCCACCTGGACATGGTTCGAGGATGTATGATAACAGTGCAATGGAGAATTTGATGAAGAGCTTTGAAGTTATCGGTAGATTTAGGGAGAGTCAATTCGATGTGGTCAAGGCGAGTAAAGCTTCCAATTCCGAAGTTATTTCAGTTAATCCTGTTTATGTTAAAGCTGGGATTACTTCAGATACAGTGAGTGGCATGATCAAATATATTTTGTAGTTAGAATTTCTGCACTAATGTTGTATTTAAAATGGTTTGTGGCATTTATGAAGGGATTTGCGATGAATGTACAGCCTTCCCAAGCAGAAGCAGGATTCGATCTTAGGTTGCCCCCCACAGCGAACCCAGAAGAAATGAAAAGGAGAATTACTGAAGAATGGGTTCCAGCTATTAGAAATATGTCATATGAGGTTAAGTATCTGTGAAATTGGTCCTGTGATATTTTGTTACTGAGGGCGACTATATATGTCATCCGTTAGAAAGTATTCATTTGGAGGATATAAACTATAAATTTCGAGAGGGATTGTCTCATTTCATTACAATGGATAATGCTACGTGGTTTCAGGCATCAACTAACGAGTTATGTTGCCACGGCCCACGGGTGAAGTTAACTGCATTTTTGCTTATGTAGAGTTTGAATTTCCTTGTTTGAGGACATTGGCCTGGCAGCCTAGCCAGTTATTCTTCATGCCTGAATTATGTAATTAGCATGCAAAGGTTGATTTTTTTTTTTTCCGTTTTCACTGCTATACATGGATATTATTAGACAATGAACGTGACAGAATCTTTACTAGCACTGTAGCATGATTATCAGATTGCTGCCTGGTGGTAGTCTAGCACTGTCGTCCGTGCACTTCAAACGAGTTTGAAAAAAAGGATGAACGAACATATTTTTTATGCATATTTTCCCTTGCTCTATGTTTTGTATTCCCCTTACTTTGCATAATTTGAAATGGAGAAAAATGTTGGATCATTTAAAGCAAAATAATGCTATTTGGATGGATTCCTTGAGCATGAAAATTGAAAGGTACTGCTAATTTTATCAAAATTTTTAAATTCAAGGGCTGTGTGTTAATATTAGATCTATGATGGTCCCACATCAAGTGATTAGAGAATTAATCACAACATATAAGTGTGTTAATATTATATGTATTCTCTAAACACTCACGTGGTACCATCATACAACTAATATTGTGTAGGGGAAGGTCAATTGGTTACTGGTTGTATTACACTCATTATTGTTTTGCATAAGTGCCATCTGTTCAATTTTTGTTTGCGTTGGGACTCATTTTTCTATGAATGAAATCAGAAGTTGGGGTGGATATTACTCCAATCCTTCCTGGGATGAATTACTACCTTGCTGTCTGAGATACGTTCTTCTTCTTCGTTGTGCTTGTTTTCCTTGATTTGTCCATTGTTTTAGTTCTTGACTTTGCATTGACAACCTTGATATTTTAGCCATGTTGGATATAAGATAAGAAACTGAAATGCTTAGGAAACTCTGACCCTTTTATCTAATGGTCATTGTGTTAGCTTTTCATTTCAGGATTGTTTTTCGTTTGTCTTGTTTGTGATCAAACAAAAATATAAAATGATGGTTGACAGGCTGAATGCATTCTTTATATGGCAGATCATAGAGAAAGGACCCATTAGAGACCACATGGGGCGCCCTTTAATGACCTCAACTAATGCCTCCAATCCATGGTGGTTAGTCTTTGAGCAGGCTATCACATTTGCTGGGGAGAAACTAGCGAAGCCTGAAATTCTGGCTTCAACAACTGATGCTCGGTACATTAGACACAGAGGAATTCCTGTGCTCGGTTTCTCACCAATGTCTAATACTCCCATCTTGCTTCACGACCACAATGAGGTTTGACGGTTTCTAATTCTTCATTGTGAATCCCTCTTGCTATTCCATATGATTTCAGTGATGGCACATCTCTTTTAACTCCCATGAATTCACTTGCAGCATCTACAAGATACTGTGTATTTGAAAGGAATAAAAGTATACGAGACTCTGATAAGTTCCTTGAGTTCATTTATGGAAGCATGATGATCGGTGTCCACAGTTGGTACTCAGTAACGGACGAGGCTATCTTGTTAACCAACCTCACAACGACAGAATATGTCTGAGTTATGGTGTTACCATTATTCACTAGGCATACCTGAGCCTTGTGTCCATTTAAAGTGAACAAGTTCTTCGCGCCGGATGCTCCCATCCCTTGACGCCTGGAACTCGACGAAACTTTAGAAAATTTGTCTGTGTAATCTGTAAGTATTTCCCTTAAGTCATTGGAAAGCCAGTAATAAGCAAGATGTCTGTGTGACCCTTAAGTAGCACATTGAGTTGATATCTTACTTCTTCATTGGAAAGACTGTCACTCATAAGTTGCCTGTAATCTTTGCTGGTGGGGTGGATCAAGATTTCTCATAATTCTTCTCCAGTATGCATGAGCTTGTTTTCTGTGCGTTCATTTGGGTGCGTATGCTTGTCTTCTAAACATTTTGGGTCAGCATTTGCTTTTTTCTCTTCGCTTGATGATTGTTTTCTGCCCTACTTTTGGGTCAAATCTGATTTCTATGGAGTAATTTCCCCTTTTGGGGCCTTTTGGCCTTTCAAAGAGTCCCCGCAACTTCTGATCATCCGAGTTTATTATGATTTCCATTTGTATCTTCTTGGTTACCCCTGTTGAGTGAATTTTTGGTACTGTAAAGCTTTTTCTATGTATATTTTAACTTATCTAATTCTTTTGTTATCAAAGTCATTGATCCCGTAACTATGATTAAGAGAATTTAGTTTTCAAAATAAATTATAGTTATACTAAACTCATCGATGCTATGAATTGCAATAAATATGTCTTGACTTCGGGACCTACGCAACAGGTAAAATCCTTATTCCAAATGGCAAGTTTTCTTCTTACGCCCGCTGTGAATTTAAGCGATAGGCATGGTGAGTGAGAGCGATAACAATTTCATGATAAATTATCGACACTAGTTCTCGAGCCATTCGCTGAAAATTCAAGTCCTTGGCTCAGAGTGGTATTTAAAGAACACATAATTTATGTCATCTTGACTGTCGAGGTAATGAATGACTAACAGTGCTTCATTACCCCGTCGAAAGTCATTTGCAGATTGTGACTAGATTCAGTCAAACAAAAGCGTATATAGAAACAGGAAAACGCATTGAAAGGGGTTGGGAGATATGCCATACAAGATCTCAAAACCTGCGCTTGAGATGTTGATGCCTGTTGCTTTTGTTGGTGTTAACATATATTTAGACGCGTACCGTGGCCTTTCCAAAACTTCCCCTAATGAAACCCAATTCAGTCAGTAAAAAAGCTACGAGAAGATTTACCTGACATCGATTTATCAGTGTTTGCTGGAATGGTGAAAAAAAAGGAACAAGTTGAGGAATAGGAAGTAGCCAAGAAGGTCACTGGTCACAGCGAGTGGATGAAGGAGTTGGGTGCGAGAGATGTGTTGAATATATTATCGCATATAAGAAAACAGCTATCAAACACTGAGGGAGATGGCAATTGTAGATAATAGATATGGTTGTTGAGGATATCCGTGCTGCGATAGAACAGTAATTTCTAGGAAGTTTCACTAAATATGCTTTTTATCCAAAGGAGAAATTGAATCCTGCAAATTGTAAGATGATCTCAGGGGGGCACATGGAGATTGCCTCTTCATCCCCCAACAACCACCCAAATGAAAAAGAAATCCTTGACCGGTGCAGGTTCGCCCATCCTCCCAATCTCTCAGCCTCTGCATAATTTATTTGAAAATGAAGGATCCTGTTTGATATGCATGCACAGTCATGCTTCTTCTGTGAGATTTCAATAAGCATTGGCCCTACTTCCTGCTGGCTGTACTCGCCCTCATTCATTGCTACCTATATATTATTTGCTTGTCGCTTTCACTCTCTGTCTATGGGGTACGGAAGGTCTTAGTCGGTACGGGCCAGTTAGGATAGAGGTACTGCACTCATCTCTGTCACTGCCACATTATCAACAATATAATTTCGCACAAGCATGCATGCCCCTGCTTTTATGCTCAATCAGTTCCGCCACAGGCTTCGCTTGTTTTCTCTCCCTCTGTGGTTATAGTCTATGATGTAAATAACACATTCTTTCATCAATTTTTAATGGGGATCGAGCGTGAGTATGTGTGACACGTGTTCTTAATGTTCAATTCTACTCCCTTCCACAGCCACTAGCTAGCTCCCCCATTAACAACTTGGCAAAAGTAGCACTCATGAACTTTATTTTGCCCCAGAATCAAGGAGTTGCTTGAGAGAGCTCCATTTTACTTTCCATGTAATCATACGCATATAAACAGTCAAAACCAATTGAATACATTTATATCATTGACGCGGTCCCTTTACACTGTATTGGATATTTATAATTCTGTGAAAAGAAGGCCAGGGTGGGGAACACAGTGATCTTGTTCACATATATTAGCAAAATTAAACGGTTAACTTGTCAACAAAATCCACAAGGTCCAGCTAATCCAGCATTTGGATTAAACCCAATTTGCAGATCGATGAACTTTCCTTCCAACTTCCAGCAAGCAAAACCTTTGCCAGTTTGCCTCCCTCCTCGATATTTGACGGATCTATAATAAGGAATGCGGCAAAAACATGTGGGAATCATTATAATGAAAAGTAATGGCACGTCAAAGACCGTACCCTCAGCTGCATCTAATTAATCAAATGTCAAATTTGTTAATTAGGACCAACTGGTTTTAAGATTCATATAATTTCTTAATACCAAAGGAGATGCCTTGAAATCTGATATGTATTCTTTATGTTCCCGAGTGCATCACAAGGGCGTCAGGAAGGAGGGAGGAGGCTGGCGACTTGTACGGTATGACGACACTATTCTCTTCACTCCTGTATTATCATCGGAGAGTGCAACTATGACTGTTCATTTCCCATTCTTTTGAATTAATGCAAAAGCACACGCCCATTGCCATTTCAGAATCAATTGCTCCATACTCAGTAATTATGTGATTTTAATACACACAAGCTCGAGGAAAGGTTGACGCAGGAAGATAGTACCAGTGTTAAGAGGGCTGTTTCTAGTTCAACTCCGGGCATCTTTTTCAATTTTTTTTTTAATGACCATTCTCACTCTGCAATAATTACAAATTCGAAGAGAAGGTGGGCTTGTGGACTAATAACAAGCCTTCGCTGTCAGGTTGACAAACAAGCACACTTTGGTTTGCCTACTACTGTATGAACTTTAGATGATAATAATATTAAAAATAAATGATAGAATGAAGGTCTTTGAATGTGTGAAAATTGACCCTACAGAGCACAGACCCATGTTAGAAAGAGCCATAAATTTATATAAAGAGGCGGTGTTTTTCAAAACCTAACGTCCAATCCCATGCATGTGTGCTGGCATGGCATTTTTCCCAAAGTAAAAGGCGTATAAGGTTGTGCCGTACCAGTGGAGAATCTATTTGAATACCTTAAAACCAGAAAGGTGAAAATAAAATAGAAAACATAGGGACAGAGAGAGGAAAGGGAGTGAAAGTCAAGTTATGGAGGCGTGAGCAACTAAGCATGGTAATCCTAAATAAAAAAGAAATGATAAGTATTATTAAATTAAATAATGCTGATTAGTTTTGGAGATAACAAAGATGCATGAGGAAAGGAGGCTCCTTGACGCGGTTTTGGAGCTGGGTACAGAGAAGCAACAGCTGGTGTGTTTGCAAATGCCCTTCTTCGTTACTGTTAGAGACTGCGCGTCTCATCTACTCACACATTTTTCCCCTTACCTTTCCTTTTTTTTCTAATTAATTTCTTTTCCTTTTTTGGATTCTTTTTAAGCATCACCACCTGCAGAGCTGCCTCTTATGCAACAGAGAATCCTATGTTTTTCTCCCTTCATGCATTGTTGTCATAAATCTCGTCTTGTATTTATATTTAGTCTCTAAGTACATCTCTTTTTGTCGCAGTCAGAAACTCCCTAAATAGTAAATACATTATTTAGAGTTCCCTTCATTTTTTTATGTACTGTCCGCTGTGAACCATGATGTTACTCAAATGAACTCAGTCAAAGCGTTAATTACTATCAGCTGGCTTTTTTATGGCTCCTTAGTCCATAGGATTTAAGTCCAAGTCTTAACGCATTTTAATTGATTTTCACTCTTATTTAATGGTGGCGCTTTGAAAAATTGCTCCTCAGCGATGTCCTTAAACTGCCGACTTCGAAAAAAGTCGTGCCGTGTTATTTATTGTTTCCAGAGAGTAACTTCTGCAGCATCTCACATGGTAAACTATAAATATTTAACATGTTTTAACAAGAAATCTGCCATTGACTAAATCATAACTGCCCCCATCGAAGACCAGAAAGATATCTTGGTTTTTAAACTCACTAAAAAGCTAGCTCACATTGCTGAAGTGATCAAAATGTGCCGAACAGTAAATCAGAAAAGTGACATATGTCTAATCCAAACGACGAAGAAACTCGGATTGGTAAAATAAATGGAAAGGGGTAAAAATTGAAACTTATGGTACAAAATGAGAGGGCATGTGACTGAACTGCGATACAGTGGCAACCAAATGATGCATATCTGAAGGAAGCTTCGCGTAGAAAGGACAAAGAAGTCATTTTATGACCTAGGTTGTCTGACGTTAATGTTCATATTAAATTTAAATTTACTTGCAACCATCCGGCAGAAATGTCATATCAAGGGAGGAACTTTTTTTTGTTTTTTTGTTTAGGGTGAATTGAGTGGAGTATTTAATTAATATCTTAAAATACAAGCATCCATCTATAAATAGGTCGCCTTTAGTGCTCAACATTCACTCGGATTGATTCATTCCCCCACTTTCAGAGCAGCAACGAGGAGGAAACAAAATCACATTCAAAAAGAGAGGAACAGAGACTTGGTGAACACCCTTTGTGCCTCAAGGAGTGATCTTGAAACTTCCGGAGTTGAGTCTCTATAATGGTCAAGAGAGGGCACAAGATCCACGCAGAGACATCAAAGCCAATGCAAGCTCAGACATCGTCAGCATCATCAGATGGGAAGAAGAGGTACAAGGGAGTGAGAATGAGGAGCTGGGGATCATGGGTTTCAGAGATTAGAGCACCGAACCAGAAAACAAGAATATGGTTGGGATCTTATTCAACCCCGGAGGCTGCAGCCCGAGCCTACGATGCTGCACTTCTATGCCTCAAGGGTTCGTCAGCTAATCTCAACTTCCCTTCAAGTTCTTCACAATACATTCCTCAAGACAATGTCATGTCTCCTAAATCAATCCAAAGAGTTGCTGCAGCTGCTGCAAATAGTTTTTCTGACAATGCCACAACCCCACCTTCTCCGCCCCCTGCCTCCGCCTCGACCTCCTCATCCTCACTCGTCTCGTCCCCATCAATGTCCTCCGATCAAATCGATGATGATGTCTCACTAATCTCATCATTTGGGGCCTACGCTAGTTATGATCAGACTAATGAACCAGTCTCTTTGATGGACTCTTGGTATAGCTTTGATGATTTGCAATCTCCCAAGTATGTGAATCAAATGCTCGGTGGTAATTTGTTTGATATTGATCCAACCCAGCTGCTCGATGATTTTTGCGAGGAAAGTGATATTCGTTTGTGGAGCTTCTGCTGAGATATAAATATATATATATATGCAGGCCAAAACCCGATTCTTTTTTCTTTACAGATTGATATTCGTTTGCCTTCAGTGCTACATGTTGAAGCTGAGATATATTACATTGCTGACTGTGACCAAATTAAATTTTCATTTATCTATGTATACATATATGGTTCCTATATGTGTATTTTAGAAGAAGAAATTCGTAGAGATAAGACAATTTTTTTTTTTTTCTGGCCTACTCTTCCAAGTGAATTTCTGAAACATCTGAAATTATGTATCATGGATGCAAAGCTTATCATGTCTATGTTATAAATATCTTTTCCATGTGTTGTAGAATATGTTTCTCTGTGTCCCTGTAATAAACAAATGTTTAATTTCGATTGTGGGAAACTAAGCCCCTTCATTTATTGCACCAATCGGACGACCTAAGATTCTCAGAAAAACTAATTAGTTACTTCAGATAAATTAAGGAAAAGAGGGAACCATGTGTTACAGGATGTGGGAACTTGAAATCTGTCGGGAAGTGTATCTGTTGTTACTTTGAATCTAATGTCCACTGAACCTTATCTTCTTGCTCAAGCATCTACGTTTGGCAACACAGGAACTATACTTTTCTGGAGGACCGCTCAGGGGTATAAATCATGAAAGCTGTTTTGTTTCCATTTTTGGGTTGGGTAATGTATTGAAGTTGGTTTATGCCTGAAGCCGAATGACAAATAATAATAAGCTATCTAAGATCATTTCATCATGTGATGATTTGTCGGAACCCAAGTTTGTTTTACATGAAGCAACACATATCTACCATGTTCTTCTCTTATCTTCTTCCCTTGTGATGTAAGCAATTCTTTTCATGTATCTTGCCAGGGTTAACGTGAATATAATATATAAGATTGTATTCTTTACCTCCTCAGAAGGAGAACTGTTTGACACTTTTAGGCCACGTAAGGACGTGATATCATGAGATGGAGCCAATGGAGGGCACATGAGCTGTCCGATTGTGAAAGAGGAGAGTTTATGGGGTCCCATCCTCCCTTGTTCCTTTTACACTGGATCAGGGCTTCTTAAGCCTAGAAGTTTTTGCAGGAAGAAAGAAAACTTTCGTTTTTGATATTACGAGTTCAAAGATACGCAGGAAAAGTAGCAGAGGATCTTCCCTTTCCTTTGACTAATCCCTGAATACGTATATAAGAGTATGCATTTTGGTCTACATAGGGCTACGTCCCTCCATCGACTATTTTAGCTGATGCACATGGAAATATATAACTAGAAGACAATCTCAATTTGATGCGTTTCAGACACAGCATGTGGGTTTTAAACGTCAATCAATCCCAGAGTATAATATACAACACTGTGGGTGTTTTTGTTTGATATTAACAAACTTTGGGCAGATAAATTCCCCTTCGAAACTGGGGCTACTAGTTTAACTGGGGAGTCCTGTGATTTTAGGGCAATGTAAGGTGAGGAGATACGACGTGTGTAGAATTGGACAAGGGCCATTATTAATGTTTGTAATTATTGCTTGTGTTTTTATTTACTACATGCATCCAGAAAATGACATTCGGAATAGTGCTCGAGTATCTTGCTTTATAAAGAAAGCCTGGATTAAAGCAGGAGCAATTATTTATGATATTTCATGTGAGTTACACTCATTTCTCGCATTATCATTGTGGCAAAGAATAATTGCTCGCCACGAAGAAAGGCAGCGGGATGGAGTTCCAGATCCAACATCAAGCATGAGATTAATGATCTAGGTTTGGCCTTATTAAGACATGATTTTATTCGATTTTTTTTAATTTATGAAAATTATATATATATTATTTGTGCCGATAAATCTTTAATGATCGACTTTTTAAAATTAAAATGTAACTTTTTGTAATAGGAAAATAATAAGGTTACGCACTTTTTTAGTGGCGCGTGGCTTTGTGATACGTGTTACAAAATCAATGGAGGAGCAATCTCTCGCAGAACACACTTTGGCATTCACATTGCCCCCTCCCACACAATGCCAATATTGTGATTGAATCATGACTTGAGTATTTTTCTTCATATCGGGGGTTGTTTTGTCTGATTTCTAAGAAAGTTATGGTGACAATTATGTGTCTTATGGTGAGGATGTTTGGGTTTTTCTAGCTTGTATGAGTTTTCCTAATGCTTCATTCTTGGGTTTACTTGGTAACAATTATTTGTCCCATTGTTGGGATTAATAAAAATTTACATTCTTGTGGGAATTGGCTGGAATTTTTCTTACAATAAAACAAAAACAATAATAAACAAAATAACACTTGATTTCCATTTCATCGATTAAGATCCCTCTATTATCTTTTTTATTTTGCTGAGTAACCATGATTTTTGTTTAATATAATAATAAAATGATTTTGACGGAGAGAATTTTGATACATGAATGTGGAACGAAGATGCCATTTACGCACAAACAAATATTTATCTATTCTTTGGAATTGTACTTGCACTCAGGCTTCGCCATTTACGCAAACTATTCTGTCTTGTTGCTCAAAAGCAACAGCTCGCAACCATTGTATTATCATTTTTTCGCTTTTGTCACTCATGGGTTGCTTGTGACTACACCTACACGTTCACCGTTATGCAGAAGCCCAATAAATGGCTTCCCGAAGATTGAATGAAATTGACCAGGGATAAATTTATGTACATAACTACGCTTCTTCACCATAAACGCGAGATTATAAAACATGTCCTGTCCCTGTACATATATTAGATACTCTTGCTCTAGATGTTGAAACAAATGTTTCTGAATTCCATTTTGGGTTGTCCGTTTTCTTTGGCCTAAATTAAGCTTTCTGTATTTGCATCTTCTCTGGGAACTGCAAGCGAATATCTAATTGTATTGAAGTTGGGACCCCTGTCTTCAGATGGAGAGGCAGAGTGTGAAGTTCAAGTGCAAGCCCATGCAAATCAGTATCAGAGGTGAACTAAAGGATACAGCATGGGATCCTCCCTGGACTAGCAGCTGCAAATGGCAAACAAAAAGAATAAGCAAAGAAAAGAAAAGTAAACTCAGACTTAGCACAAGTGCAACTGATGTCTCACTCACTATTACGCTAATGCCATTATTAGCATGGGGATTAGATATTCAATTTGCTAGATTTTCGTTTTAAAACAGACAAGGCAAGGATCTCTCAAGAAGCATTTACTGTTTATACTAATATTCATTAAGTATAGCTATAGAAAAAGTATCCGTTATAACCCCTTGCGGAAGCAATCATGTCATTCTCTTCTTCTGGACGAATCCGTCGACGCCTCCCGTGAAAAGGCAACAGAGAAGCCAGTTGAATCTGAAACCATCTCAGGCACCTTCGTATCCTGCCTCCTCCGTCACTGGGCTCAACAGAGTCGGTGGACACCGGCACCTCAAGCCGACAAACAGGGCAAGAATTGTGAAGCCTTAGCCAAGGAACAATGCAATCCGAATGGTATATGTGCTTGCAGGGCAATTCCCTTGCATCTCCACCCACTTCAAATTCTTCCTGGCAAACCGGGCAGTATGGGTTCTCCTTCAGATGGCTCTCCGAGATTTTCACACTCGGAATCGCATGGATAGTTCTCTCCGGCGCTGGCGGTGCCCCTGGCCTGTCATTTTCCGTCAATTGGTCAATCAGTTCTCCCAGACCAGGACCAAAATAGTAGTCTCTCGGGTCAACACCGCGCGGTATAGGGTTTTGTAGTCGCGGAATTAATTCCAATGGGTCAGACGGATCTCTAGGTGGAAGAATTAGCCAAGTCCGAGGATGAGGAAGAATTAGAGGTTCGGGTCCATCAGCGTCGGAATCACCAGCTCTCTGATCAGCCCGACGATGTCGTCGACGTGTTACGTGCCGGACGGGAATTTCACCATCGGAATCGGCATGACGTCTACCCTCTTGTTGGCGGGGTTGCTCTCGATCCTGAATCCAACGAACGCGTGGAGGTTGAGCTCGGGGGTCGTGGAGCCGCCCATTAAACCGTCTAATTGGGGGGTCAAACGACAAAGAAAGGGCTTCTAAAAGACGGGCCTCCGGTGATGGGTCGTGATGGGTAAAATCCAATATGAGTCTAGGCCTGGATAAGTCGATCTCGCTGAGGAATTGGCCAGAACAAAGCGGGCAGGTTATGTTGGACAAGTCCGTGGAGGGGAGACGGACCATTCGGTTGCACTGGTAGCACCAGTAGAAAAGGTTTGTCCCGGGTTCGCCATTCGTCCTTTGCCGACGAGGGCTCAGAGACATTGTTTTTAGTATTGGAAGACGGAAAAGTACAATGGGCCTCAGTTTTAATCTCGATCATGGATTTCGAAACAATGTTGGGGAAAGCACAAAGCAAGGAATCACTTGTGGGCTCCAACGAAGCAATTCTCCCTTCACGCCTTCATCTTCTTGGCACAGTTTCTTTTTCTTTTTACATAATAATAATAGTATTTGTCTAATTATATTTTTTAAAGATATAGTATTTTAGGAGGTCACTAGGCTTTTGGCATTTTTGTCCTTAAAGTTCAATGATGCCGTCCAGATGATGGGCTTCGTTTTTGTCGATACCTACATGGGCTAGGTAGCCCTTTTCTGGTTCCCTCCACTCCCCTAAAAAAGGGAAAACAATTGGTGGGGTAAAAAATAATAAACATAATCATGTAACGTAGTGACTATCTCACTCCATCCTTTAAACATATGGTGAAAGGTTTGATTTCTTACTCATGCAAATAGAGAGCATTTTATGACCAGCTGTATGCCCCATTGTGGGAGACTCTGCAGTAAATGGATTAATCACCGTTACAAACAGTAGATACCTTGGACAATAAAAAAAGTAATAAACATATTACTAAGGAATTATTTGGTTTTTGTTTTTATTTTTATTTTTAAAAATTGTTTTGTTATATACTTTTTAAAATTTTTTTTCAAAATAAAATAAAATAAAAATTTGTTTTGTTATGTCAATTAAAAATCAGATTAAAAATTAAAAAAATGAACTGATAATAATGATTATAAACAGTTAATAGTAGTGACTAATAATAGAAATTAGTCAAGGTAATTATAATTTTTAATAATCAAATGTAGTGTATTTTAAAAATAAAAAATAAAATAAAAACAAATTAAAGTTCTTTATTTTTTTTGTTTTTAAAAACAAAAAACAAAAATAGTTCTGGAGACAATTAAATGACAAATACTTGTCCAAACAATTTTTTAATTTTTTTTTGTTTTCAAAAATAAAAAACAGTTTTTAAAAGTAGAAACAAACGTGTCCTAAATATGCAATGAATTGGAAATAGATCCCAAATGGCTTCGATCGAGCTGAAACTAGGGACGCAAATTAAATATCTAAGTGTTTCGGGCCTAATACGGATAATTAGGTTGACGAATTGACAACCCTGCAAGCTTCGGTTGATTCAGCTCTGATCAAGTGGTTGGTGTAAAACACAGTAAAATGACGAATCCTAGTACTATCGGAAGCCAGACCAAAAAGGTTAAAAAAGGCATACTCATGTTGGCAAGGACCCTGTGTTGTTTGTGCATGCTTCAGCTCCAACTTCTAACTCTCCCCGTAATTGAAATTCGAAGCTCTCGGTAGCAAGATTCTTCACCCACGATATAATGAGCGTTTAAACTTTCAAGAAAAGAACGCCGCATTTGCTTGAAAGAGTTCACGATCTTTTTATCATTATTCCATTATTGAGCTCGAGGAGGAACATACAGTCTCAGTCCTTTTGACTAAAACCGGGACGACTAATTCAACATAGTTTCAAGATATCTGCAGCCTTGTAGAGGTAGCGCTTGGACCATTATTTAACAACAGTCCTCTGCAAGCACAGTTGCCTTAATAATCAAAAATTGAAAGATAGAAGGGAAAGTATGAGTTTGACTTGCTACACGACAAACACACATTACTAGTCAATCTTCATACATAGTATTCTTCACACACAGTAACAAATATCAAGGCTGTCGAAAAAATTGAATCCCAAAAGATAATAATGAATTCCCAAACTTTCTTGTCCTGATTTACTCGGATGTAAAAATACAAGAAAATTTAAATAAATGAGTGTTTAATTAATAAATATGCAAAGTACATATCTGTAAAGATTATGAAAATTGAAAATGATTCTAAAAGCTATATGAAAATATATGGGAAAATTTAGATGTTTAAAAGTGTTGATAAATATTGTTGATTGATTGTTTGTCATTTCCTTTTATGACCTTTTATTCCTTTTATAATTATTCAACTGAGATAGATATTGTTGATTGATCATTTGTCGTTTCCTTTTATGACCTTCTGTTCCTTTTATAATTATTCAATTGAGACCATCATGTCCACGAGGTCCAAAGTCCATTTATGAAATATCAAGGATCTCTTAGCATAGGCCACGAGATTCTTGGCACGTTACACCATATTCCCTCGACAATCTCATACGTCTGGTCATCTTGAGTCTTGAGAGTTACCTTAGGCTCATGCGTGGCCCTCCTTTTTCTTAAAAGAAAATCGGGTTATGCTTCTGAAGTCCATCATGTCTTTTACCTCTTGTTGGGCTCGTCATTTTGTTTTGAGGCCCAAACACATAGATTACAATAGTTGATTTTGGTTTGGAGTTGACTTTTCAATTACGAATTGTAGAATGAATACATGATCGTGGTAAGGAAAATATGAGGAAAAAAAGGGGAGGGGGAGCTATATATGAAAATGAAAGTATATATTCTTTCAATTTAGGCATTGTCCAATAATTCTTTCACCTATACATACTAGGTTGCCCTTAGGCATTATTTAGGGTGAAATATAATATCTAACAATTCAAAATACATTGAATTAAAGTCTTCATTTTCAAAAATTTTGAAATCTAATATTAAGGTGGAGCTGATAGTACAAGCATTTAGCCACCTTGTTAATCAAGAAACCATACTTTTAGGCAAGCTCGATCATGAAGCCTTTGAATATATAATTCTAGTTGGCTGCCCAACCCAATGTACGTATATTTTGACCTCATCCACATCACATTTATAAATGTAAGTCACCAATCAATTTAATGAGAGATTGATTTTACAGGTCTTGTTTCAACCGATCAAATTTCAAACCGTCATCAATTGACATATCACTTCAGTCGTAGTCTAGTTTATTAGACCATAATTGCATCCTATGATACTTTTAGTCAGATTAGCTTATTTCTATGATAGAGTTAGTTAATAGATGTTTGTGCTTGGGAATGCTAGGCATTTGTTATTATTTACATGTTTGGTAATGCATGCATGTACATATGAGTAAGCACAGCCATGTATTCTCTAATTGATTAATTTTGCGATTAAGCTAGCTAGCTTTAACAACACTTTACGAAGGAAACACATAACTTGAGATGGATCATGTCATTTAAAGAGCCAGGGACATCGATGTTGATGCATACATGAAAATCAAAATAGGCGATAATGAGTTTCAATAAGGGGTGAGTTATGCTGTTATTGTTGTTTCTTTTAAATAAGAAAATGTGTAAGCATATTCATGCATAAATGGTAGCATCATGAGCGTGAGGTTAAGTTCCCATCATGTCATTATATATATCACGCATGTACTTAATTTGAAGTTTGAGCAAAGAACAATAAGGTTAATTTGTTCCTAGTTCTTTCCTAAGGCCTTGCCCTTGCCTTTCTATTTCAAGCTAGTCTCTATCGACTTCTAGTTCCAGACCAATAGAGTATAGACTTCCTTCCTCATCCTTCGCTCACTCCATCGACGACCAAACTAAAGATCAAAGTTAGAGTCCACAACGAGCGATAGCCACTTCCTCCTCCTTGTATAGATTGAACCGTAACATAATGGCACCCTCCTTCATTTGCACATAAGAGAACATGGGAGGGGTGTTGCCATTGATTTGACATAAATTAATTGTTAAGATGGATTGAACTACAACATGAATGGCAATAAAGGGAAACTCAGTGGGAAAAGCTTGACAGAGAAATGACAAGAAGTTGGGAAGTCGAGCAAGAGAGATGGAGTTTTGATCGATAGGTATTCATGAAATATAAAAAATTTACTAAGGACAAATTAGTCAATATATTTGGCTCCCTTCTAAAAAAACCTCAATTTGAAAGGGGCCAAAGGGAGGGGAGGAATAAATTTTGACTCCCCCTCCCTCTAAAATTTTCAACCAAATGAGAGGAGGGGAGCATCACTCCTCCCATTTCCTCTAAAATCTTTTAATGAAACATACCCTAAGTCTTTTAAAAGCTTAAATGTCAAATGTTGCCTTGTACTTGACTCTGTTGAGTTGAGCAACCTTTTTCTCATTTGGGTTTAAAAAAAAACTCAATTGGCAACGACAATCAAAACTGGCAGCTCCCTGGTTTCAAGTAACCTCGATTAAGTGCGTGTATATACACGCTTGTTAGTTATAATTTTTTATCTATTAATTAATACTCTCTCCATTCCAAATTATAAGACATTTGTAAATAAGGGATCCGATTCTATGAGTTCTGGGCCCATTTTCATATGGGCCTAAATCTCTGATTAAAAAAAAAGGGAGGTGGGGAGAAGTTGGCGGGGATCCACTTTCGTTTGCGTTGGGCCCAGATGAAATTTGGGCCTGATTTAAAAAAAAAAGGGAGATTCTATTAATTACCTTTTGACCCCAGGATAGAATTACATCATTCGGCCCAAAATTTATGGAATTTCCTCCGTGACCCTAATAAATTTCTTAAAATTATATTGTGGTCCCCTTAACTTCCAGGATTGTATTTTGACCCAAATCTCTTCCAGAATTACTTATTTGCCCCTGATTACCTTTTAAAATTTCACTTAAGTACTAGATTCATTTTCTAATTCCTAAAAGACCCTAAGGACTTTTAAAATTATGTTGTTTTGTCCTAAAGTCATAAAATTTGTGACTTTATGAATTATTGATGATGCTTAGGATCTTGTAGCATGGATAATGGACATACCCCATAGGTGTGACATTATTAATGTGATTTTGATGGTTGGCTTTGAGGATAGGCTAATAGCACTCCTTTAATGTGTTAGATATTTATTGTATCCTATAGGTATGAAAATGTTTAATGCATTATTTGTATGGACTTTTGTATGAGCTAAATTTTATAGTATATGAGCCTTCTTGGTGCATGATTATAGTTGCCTAATTGATAATCGCTTGTTGGGGAATTCTGTTTTATAATTATGTTATGCACACATAATTAATATTTCTCATTTTCTGTTTTGCGATTTCAGTTTCTGCTTTTACGCAACTATCCTTTGTGAAGGCTCTCAATGGGACTAACTATGATG